CCGTGCTGCTACTAAACCAAATTTATACTAAGATGAAACACCAGCAGCTCCTGTGCTCGTTTACCATGAAACAGAGGCTTGTGGCCTTATGGAAGCAGTTTGTAAAACACTGTTACATCTTCCCTTGCTTTAAGAAATGACTAGAGATTTTTGCTTTAGCTTTCACAGACTGACAAGGGATGTTTCAGTTTGAAACTCTCACAAACTGGTATCCAGATCTGGTAGTTTTCAAACTGTATTAGTGGTGTAATTAATAGTATCATACTTTGAATCATCTGACATAATCAAATGTATTACTTGTGTAGGAAGTATTGGGGAAAAAAAAAAAAAACTCTGAATGAGTTGAGCTTGTGATGATCTCAGGAACAAGGCATGTGGCGCTAAAAACCCCCATAGAAGGAAAGAGAAGGAGGAGCAGTCCCCGGGTTTCACACGGCGTAATCAGGTAGGGCAAAGTAAATAGAGCTTGGGAGTACTAACATGTAGGTTTTCCCTCTGGGTTGAGGGCAAGAGGAAGGTTAGCGTATTGCTTTACTGGTGGTTGCAAGATGCTGAGCTGCGCTAGAATAACAGCAAGAACACAGGTCATTCTGAAAGTATTGTGATGTGGTGCTCGCTATGCACTCAGACGTGTTTTGAATTTTCTTGTATAATCTGTATAATATAGACAGTAATGTTTTTTTAACAAAAAATGTAAAACCGTGCAAAAAAAGAAATAAATAGACAATATATAGAGTCCAGCAACAATTGATTCATGTTCACACTGGATGCTGGAAGGCTTGTTTGAGTGTTTTTATAATGCCAATCATGGCTTCAAGGTAGAGATGATTTTATCTTGGCCTGCATATAAATCTAGAGCTACTGAGCATACTCCTGAATGCTTAGTTATGTGCTTCAGTGCACAAACTTGTGCTTAATAAGAATAGAAAAAAACAGGGCTTTTTTTTTTTTTTTTTTTTTTAGGAAAGCTTTCTACCTGTATATATATATGTCATATGTGCAGCTAGGAATATGACTACAGTCAAAATGTTATTAAACTTTACCATGATGCTGCCTATCATAAGAAGTGAATATTTGAAATATAGGCTTGAGTTACTGCTTTTTGATTTTTCCTGTTGTAAGTGCTGGTAAACTGATGGAGTAGTGAAGGTGGATGTTCTTTGGGTTGTTGCTTGTTTGTTTTTAAATAATGCTTAGTCGTGACACTAATGACACTAAGGACTGGCTCTTGCGATCCTTTCCAAGTATTGCACGTAATGTTTTTGGCCCCTGAAGTGTTCAGCCATGCTATATGTAGATCCCAGGTTTAATTAAATAAACTGCCACATAGGACACGAGTTTTCTTTCTTCCTGGAGTCTTTTCTCCTAGTCTATTCTTCTTAGCTTTTCAACCCCCAAACTGGAAACATTTCACAAGTGTCAAGAGAGTAAAGTTGCAGTACGATAAGGGCTCATCTAATAGGTATCGCTATGTTAGTTCAAGGAGGTCAGGCTGCAGGTGGACCAAAAGGCTTTCTGGATGTCGCAGGTGGTGGTGGTAGTCCCAAGTAACACTATTCACATATTTGGATTGCTCTAGTTTGAGGTACTGAAGAAGAATGATCGTGCAGGTGATACAGTTGAAGCAGCCTGTAATCTAACATACTGTAAAGACAGTGTTTCGTTGCTGCAGGTATGTTGAACAGCCACCTTCATGTGTGCTGTGAGAATGTTGATATATCTCATCTTTGCATATTTATGTGTAAATACATCTTTACACAATGTGCACATACCAGATTCACCTGCTTTTTATCACTTTTGCCTTGTAAGTCTGAAAAATTCATATTCCTCATGGAAAATATAGACAGATATTGAATACTTCACATTAAATTTATAAGTTATATAATATTTAGTATATAATAAATAGTATAATTTATAATAAGTTTTTACTTTTGTCAGAAATTCTAATTTTCATAGTAGAGAAGTGCATGTTTTGATTTCTGCAGTTGTGTTGTTTTAAAAACATCAGTTTCCCAAATTTGATTGTTACTGTTTGTTGTCGGGCTATGCAGGGTACGTGGTTACTGCGAACCTTGCCAAAGGGAGAAGGGCGAAAAAATGGAATAAGAGGTACATTGTAATGCAGAATTTCTGTTTGACAGATTCCTTTGTGTGATAGTTTATGTTACAGTGAGAGACTTTGAGGGTTTATTGCAGCAAAAAGTTGTGCATTATAATCCTTCAAACAAGTGAATGAGCTATATATGGTAGCTGAACTTTCCTTGGAGCAAATGTGCAGGATAGTTTTCCACTGTTACTTAGGTGGATTTTGTTTCCTGACAAGAAGTTCAGCATTATTTGAAATTGTTCTAGCAGAGCTTCTTGACAGGTTATGGCTTGTTACCTGCTATTAGCTTAGGATAATTAGTACTAATAGCCTCACAAAGAGCAACTTACTCAGTTTGGGGCCACAGAAATTTGCGGAGTGATTCAGAGTGATTTCCCTTCCTCTCTTCTTGTCCCTATTTCTCCCATCCCCCCTTTTTTTTAATGTGTCACAGTAGTGTTAAATGAGACATTTTGGTCTAGTGAGCAGTGTTAATGTGCACTGCACAAAAAAAAAAAATCATATCTGGTGCTTTCTTGGGAGGGAGAAAGTTAGTACTGTTTTCAGGACTGTGAATAGAAACAGGATCTTTCTGGTCTTTTTACTGCAGTTTCCCTAGTAGATACGTTGTGGATGGGAGAAAGAATTGTTCACACTCTGGTTTCCATCATGGAGTCAGTCACAATGTTCAGACCTTAATTGGGATCCTTCTGTTTTCTTTATAGGTTTGGTGTTCCCACTCAGGCCCTGGGAGCACCTGCTTATTTATTTATTGAAATAAGGCAGCATATTTCTGGAGTTCAGTGAAGAAAGTTTCCCTGACATTTTTGCTTTTAGGCTCCCACAAAAGGATCTTGTCTTGAATGTCTTTTTCCTGTTCTATTGGAGCTAAGATGCTGATGAATGTCGTAGTCGCTTAACAGGAAGCAAGTTTTTCCCTTGGCTTGATAAAGGTGTATCGAAGAATTGATTAACTTCTAAGGATCAAAATGAGAGTCAAGGAAATATTTTGTTATTAAAAAAATGCCTTGTTTATTAATTGGAGGATCACTGTTGAAGCAATTGTAATATTATAAGTAAAATATAGGTGAAATTTATATAGATCTTAGTTTGCCATTTCCAGACTTCTTATGGATAGCTAAACAGCCTTCTTAACGTGTGGAACTGACAACCAAAACCAACCCAACATCCAGATGCTGCAGACAACTTATAAAGCAATATCTTTAACAGCAGTTAGGTAACTATGTGGTTGTAGTACACTAGAAAATACTTCAGTGCGATATGGAAGCGCATTTTCTGGGAGAGAAGCCAGAACTTGGGCTTCCTCTGGTCCTCTTGCAGCAGACAGTACTCGTCCTTGGGTTACTGAGTCGCGTTCGCTTTCGGCAAAGAATACTGCACTTGAGTCTCATATACTCAAGCATCAGTGGTGGGACGTTGGACTGTGATTTCGATACACTTCTCTTCATCTTCAGATTTCTGTAAACAAGCTGACAAATTCATGTAAAATGTAAGTGAATTTGCATCCTGCAGTTTCGAATTAAACAGCTTTTGAGAGTTGTTTTCTGTAGTTTAAGTGTCTGTAAGCATCTAAATTGCTAAATACATCTGTAGCTCCCATTCTTTTTGAAAAGATGAATGTGTTCATAAGTCTCAAGTAATCAGTCTTGCCTTACCAAAATTGTGGGCTCTTTTTTGGGGCATAGTATTTCATATACTGAATCAATAAAACAATTTCTGTAGAATCTTAAGTGTCTTTTATGAAGTCTTCATCCAAATAATGTAAATGTTTCATCTAAAATTGGAAACTATCTCCAAATAAACTGAAATTTAAAAGGTCATAGTAATAGCAATAGTAATAATAATAGTAATTATTACTGTATATTCTCAGAAAGTCTGAAAACAAAGTTGAATAAATGTAGCAAAACGAGTGCTATTAGCTTTTTAATGTTTAATGAGATAAGCTAATATGAGTCCATCACTGTCAAAAAGCAAATGGTGCAATAATACAAAAACTTGGTTGAAAGCTTGGCTTCTAAAATAAGCTATTTCTCCCAAATTTTAAATCGTTTTAAAATGAGTCTTATGCATAATTTTTCTGAGAATTGGGGCAGAAAGCTCACTGCAAATCACTTCAGCAGATCTGAGTCTGTATGATACAAAATTTTAACGTTGGTATTATCTTTCACTAAACAACTTGTATGTGACACTGCATGCATGTATAATGAAAAAAAAAAGGGGGTTGGAACAGGGAAATAAATAGAAACACATCATCATGGTGAGTTTTCAGTGGACGGAATTTGTGGCAGCTTCCTGTCAGGGAGCTACAGCATTGGCAGCCTTATGGTTACAGGCTGTCTTCTTGAGGCTGTTTCCTGAAGTCCTCAGGAGCTCTTCCTTAAGCCGTTGTCAAGTAGAAGCCAGCAACAGATATCTAACTGGGGAATTCCAGGCATGTTGCTGGATCCCTGAGGTACATCTGCAAAGCAAGTGGATGTTTAGGCAAAGGCTTTTATTATGGCTGAATAGAAGACTTGGTTTGTGTTCAGAAATGTTCAGCAGAAAGCATTTCTACCTTGAGAAGTCACTTGTAACAGGAAGCATGTGTGAATGAGGGCTGTGTGTGGAGTTGTCTCAGATATCAGCTACATTATTAAGGCATTAGTCTCTACTACTTGTTCTTGATCCAAGGCAACAATTTAACCTGTTCACCCAGTTACTCTTCCCCATCACTTCTTCCTTTCTTCATACAAATATGCGATTTCCTTAAACACGTGAAACTTTTCCCTAATGGGCTCCTTAGTTGTCTTGACGCAGGGAACATACTAAGGAAAACAAATAAAACACTCTATTGCTTGTTTTCACTTTTGATTTTGAAATTGCATACCAGGATCTGCCAAAACTAAAATAATAACTTTAGTTTTTCTTTACAGGTTTGATCTTACTATTTTATCTGGTATTTTATGGCTTCCTAGCAGCACTCTTCACATTCACAATGTGGGTTATGCTTCAGACACTGAGCAGTGATATTCCAAAATACCGTGACCGAATTGCTAGTCCAGGTAATTGTATTTATTTCTTCATAAATCTGGTTCTGGTTTAACAGCTAATGCTTATTTGAAAACCTGTTTGAAGTATAAACTAATTATAGGAAACCATGGGTTCTAACTCAATTACTTAAATGTTTCAAAGGAACAATTGGTTGCAAGGTATGGGGATTTATAACATAAAATCAGTTAGTAGCTTTTTGTGAGGGGTTGAAAAATCCCCCAGATTCAACACCATATCTTTCTCTTCCTTTCCCAGGAAGAATGCTTCTTCCCCTTCATGTAGGTTCCACATATCAGTGTCTACCTTTCTTACCCTCCATCACAAAGCTGCATTCAGTATTCAGTAATTCAAGTGTCCTCATTACTCTTGCTAGTCCTGGCTCTTTCTCTGTAGGTTGCTCCTGTTCCAGTGTCCCTCAGCCAGAAGCTGAATGGGTCCAGCTGTAGGCACTGAGTACAGTAGACTGGGGAGCAAGTAGCACTGCTGTATGTCACCCTGCTTGGTTTATTGTTTGGTGCTAGCTGCTTGTTTTCTTAAGGCTTGTTACGGCCTATGTTCCCCAAGACATACCCAGCCCTTCAAGGTGGTATGTGTGCAGTGGTTTAATAAACTTGATTGTATTTTCCATGAAACAGATGCAATCTAAACTTTTTGTATATGGAGAAGGAGGAAAGGAACAACAGACTTTGTTTTGATTGGGAAATATTTCCAGGCATCTTTAATCTTTACACATTATAAAATTAAAAAAAAAACTTTGTTGTTTGTGCGTTCCTCTGAGATTAAAGTGGTGATAGCCTTAGTGAGTATTGCCTTAAGGTCTCAAGTGTAACTTTAGGGTTGTGTTTTGTGTGTTTGTTCCTTTTCATTTAATCTGTTGAATGTGGAAAATGCAACGTGAATCAGTACAATACTTTAATTAAAAGTGAATAAGCTGCTGATTTTGCTGTTCCTAATCAATTGTTCTGATTTGTGAATTGCAATTATATGTTGAATTGAGTTTAAGTCTTTATTCAATTTTTGTAGGTTAGAGTAGAGTAGAGAAGACTTCAGTCTTTTATGTGTACTTTTTCTTTTTAAGGACTTATGATTTCACCAAAACCAGACACTGCACTGGAATTTTACTTTAACAAGAGTGACTCCCAATCATATGCAGAATATGTTTCTACACTTAGACAATTTCTTGAAAGTAAGTAAGTTATTTCAAACTGCTCAGATAGTTCAGGAGTCTTATTGTTGAGTACATTCATTTCTTTTTATGCATGGAGTGACTAATTGCTAAATGACATATTTGTAAGTTTAGGCTTGTTCTATAGATGTCTATTTTTGTAATTACTTTATAGCACTTTTCAACACTGGATCTCGAAGTCTCATTTTACAAAAAAAGTGAGTATTTTACAGACAGGAAACGGAGCACAAGGAACAGCAGAGTGCATAAAATAGAGTTTTGAGTCCTAGTCAAGAGTTCTGGTAATATGTTGATATAGACGCTACAAGAAGTAGGAATTATGTAAGAGAATTCAACATAAAATTACAGAGGTCATGTGTTTGGAATCAGCATTTATCAAAATTTGTAATATATAATACTTTGACCTTATGAATTTGAGTATTTGAATCCTTTTTAATGAGGCACATAAAGCATAAATTAAGAGCATTTTAATCATTATCACCGTAATACACAGTCCTTATAAACAGAAAGTTGAAAGAGAGAAGGTAGCAAAGAGCGTGTGGAAGAATGGCAAATGACTTATCAAGTTTTATGTACTTGCCCACACATATACTTAATCTATAAATGTAGAAATTGAGAAAAATATTGGCAAGTGTAGATTGTAATTAAAGCGGTTCTGTAGCATCTCATCTTTGTTTGTGAGTTGCTTTGCTAGCTGTGGAAGCTCTGCTGGAATGCGCCTCGTTTGAGTGCCTCTAGTTTTGGTGCCTCCTGAAAGGCTCTGTGAGTAGATGCATCTTTCAGAGCTCTGAGGAAACTTCCCCAAAGGAGTGCTGTACTTAGTGATTACCTGCCGCTCCTGCAGTTAAACAGGTTTTGGACCCACACACTGACAACAAGCCTTTTATCACCTGTTTGTTTGTTTATTTGTTTATTTACCCACCCACCCCGCACAGCTAAACAAACATAGAGTGTGTTAAATGTGAATGCTTTTGTAACAATGTAAACTGTGTACTTTCTTCTGTGTTAGCAGTTTCTAGAGCTAGAGATGTGTGAAATTTAAAGACATGAGAAAATAATTTGGAATGTCAGTATAACATCTGTTGTGCTACCTGATATAGATGAGATACAAGTTAATACTCTCTGTGAATACTTAAGTTTTCCTGTTTTTTTTTTAAAAATGTACAAAGGGAAAACATGCTTGTACCTTAGTCTTGAGGTAAAAATTCTTTTTATACTTTAACACATTATTTATTTACAGAAACTAATAAAGCTGTGATTATTGGTAAGATAGGACTGTATTATTTCTCTTGTAATAATTTGTTTTCTTTTATTCAGATATAGTAGAACTGTTAGACTATTGTTAGATTTTGGAAAAGTAACAGTGTTTAAGAGCGAAATAAGATCCCTAATGCTCTGAAAAAAAGTTCTTTTAAAAACAAATCTAGCAAGTGACAACTGTAGACTAGATGTTTACGTAGGCTTCTCTATTTTTTGCCTCCATGTATGCCCTATACCATTGATTTTTACACTTTTCTAATGTTTCATAGCATATGATGATTCAAAACAAGCCCAAAACATAGACTGCACTCCAGGAAAGGTTTTTGATCAGAATGAGGAGGCTGTTAAAAAGGCATGTCGATTTAATATCTCTGAGCTTGGACAATGCTCTGGAAAGGAAGATAAGACCTTTGGCTATTCTAGAGGAACTCCGTGTGTGCTTGTGAAAATGAATAGAGTAAGTTCATAGTTATCTTCTTTTTTTTTCGGTTTTAGAATGATTTCTAAAAATGAAGTACATTTTATTTCATATCTACATTATATAAATGCAATTAGAATTTAATGTGTTTGGTAACACTCGAACTATGCAATGTGATGAAAACTACATTGCATGAATAAATATATCACTTTTCATGGATGTTACACATCACTTGATCTGCTAGCTGAATTGAGCCATTAATGTTGCATGCCTAATTTAAAATAAGGTACTTAGTATAGCCATTGTAACTATTTGAGCTTTAAATTAAAAATGCTTTAAATTTTCATTCTAGTCTAAAATTGTGCACCATAAAAATGGCTCTTCACCAGATTTGCTGCCTTTATGTACTCTGTTATTTTAAGCAAGAAGAGTTACTAAATTTAGTATGTAAAACTGGAAGGGGGAAGAACATTATAAATATTTTTTCTTTCTTTCCTTTAGATAATTGGATTAAAGCCTGAAGGAGAACCATATATACAGTGTTCACCTAAGGTCAGTTCTAAATACAATAAATATGTGTATAGTTATTTTCCTTATGGCTAGGATGAAAACCAAATGTAAATACTGGATCTAAGCACTTACTGTACTTTCTCCCTTTTCCTAAAACTTTTAAAACTGTTGTTTTCTTCCCTTTTTTATTTCTTGTTTTCATCTCACTGTATTTCTTAGTTTTAGTGTACTTAACCTCTTTAGTGTAATTTTTAAAATACTGTCCTTTTTTTGTTCTTCCATCTTTAATAGCTTTAAGATGTATTTGAGCTATTTGACCTGCTACAGAGTTGAGGAAAGAACATACATGTAACCTGTGCTCATGTTATTTTTTTTTAATTTTGTGTAAGTTATGTTTTGTTTTCTCATTTCATAACCTATATTTTTATTTTTCTCTCCATGCTGCAAGTGCACCTTAGACAATTTTGTAAATGATGGGTAAGAGAAAGTGTGAAAACTAACGTTGTTAACTGTTCCAAGTAAATATTGTCCTCGAATCAATTATAAACGATTTATATATAATAACAGCAAATCTATACCTATTTTTTTGTGTACCAGTTAATTTAAAAAGAATGTTTTATTGACAGTTATAACTACTGCACATTTTTCCTAGTCTACTTGGGGAGCAGTGAAGGACTTGGTAAGTTGCTATCTTGAGCAGAGGACAGAGCCATGGCTTTTAGCTTAAGGTGGCTTTCAAAAAAATGGTAGGTAGGCTGGGGAATTTTAGGAGATTACCTAGGCAAACATCTAGGATGAAGGTAGAACACCTAGGACCACCTGCCTCTGTTAAGCATTAATTTTAATACTAGATTTTTGTGGCTTGTTCGACAGATTTAATCTTTCTGTAGCAGCTTGCTGCAAGCTAAAGTGATTACTTCTCTCAGTTGTTGAGGCTGATATTTTGTGTCTGATTGTATAAAATGTTCTGTTGAAGGAATGATTTATTTTTCTAGAATAAAGCAATTAAGTTCTCTCTACTTTTACTGTCCCTTTTTCTCCCCCACTGTCTTCTCCAGTCTATCATTTACTGTAACACAATATTCAGAGCAGGAATCCCAGTTCATGATGTTCATATCGCTTCAGTTTTCTTATACGGATGTCCTGTGAGACAGTGTTAAAAGATATGCTAACCATTGCAGACGTTCCTCTTCCTTATCCTCTAAGCTGAGCTCCTTAGCAAAATTTGGTAACAACTTTGAGTTTTTTTTTTTTTTTTAAACCCTTTTAAAATCTCTGCTCTGTAAGGTTATTGCTAAGGAATCAAAGGTAGTGACTCAAGGGGAAATTTTGTCAGGCTTTGCTACTTTGAATGCATCTGTTTTATGTTAAGCTTATGCTTACTCTAGTCTGTCCTAATTTACTTGCATATGAAAGCCTAAATATGGGTTAGAATTCAATCTTCTCTGTAGAGACCAAAGTGAAGAATCAGCATTAGCAGTTACCATTTTCTTCTTCCTGTCTATGCGTTGTTTTTAGAGAATTTCTCTTTACCTACACCTGTTATTGACTGAAAATTTATTTTGGCCATACTTTTTTTTTTTTTTTTAACTTAAAATCTTAAAGGACTATGGTCTTCCTTTGCATCAGCTCATGTGTCCTTGTTTCCCCAATTGCATCAGTATCTGATTCTTTAGGATACTAGCACTCTGTAGTGGTCTCAAGATGTCATCATGTAGTCTCTATAGAGAAGGAAGGGGATTGTTCTAATCACAGCTGGTTCTTGCTCCACTAGAGGAACTGGCCTGCTCTTGATTTAAGGATCTTACCAGAAGAAAGAAGCTTAAATGAATTGTGCTTCCAAGAAGTTTGACAACTTCAGCATTCTAGAGCTGCAGTTCTGAGATGGAAATATCTAGTTTCATGTTCATTGGAACTTCTTGCAGCATCATTTTTACATGTTAAAACTGCATTTACTGAAAGATGAAAAGATTTGGTGCAAGGAAAAACACTGTATATGTGTGTGGGTTTTGTTGTTGTTGGTTTTTGTTAATATATAAAAAGGACAAATAATTCCAAACTATGTATTTCTACTTTCTGGAGACCAAACACCTTACAGGTCCTGTTAGCTCGTATTGGTCTTTAACATATTTCTTTTTTTTTTTCTCTTTACACTGAGCAGTGAGCCTAAACAGATGCATGCAACTGATTATATTTCTTCTCAAATGATTAAAAAACAGTCTTACAAGCCTTTAACCCAAGTTTTTCCATTGTTCTTTGTACTTGATCTTAAATCTCAAAGTTGTTCTTGATGAGGTGAAGTAGAAGCACATCTTTATCTGCACAGCTAAGCGATCCGATTTATAGATTTGCTGACTGCCTGCAGCTCTTTGAGGAAGTTGTCAATGGTAGGCAGAAAAAAATGGCACAAATGGATTTCATCTTAAAGCTCTTCAGCAAATGCAGCTTGCTTAGCTTTTTAAAAATTGTGTAGGGATATTAGTGAGGATAGCTCAAAAATCACAGCATTTGCATGACAGGCAGTTGCATGTCTGAATACTTCTAGTATTTTATTGATGGCCTAATGTATATGCTTGTGACTGCATGCGTGCATTGTATGTAACTACTCTGGAAATACTCCTGTATTATCCTGTATTTTGATCTTTTTTTTACCATAGTTTCAGAATTATATTTGAATAATGACTGTTTTGAGCTGCATGAGGTATAATTAAAATAGAGGATAATGCTGCAGTGCATCAGAATTCTGCTTAATTAAATTTGCTAACTCAAGGTCCAAAGTATTTAATAAACATACTGGAGAACTGCAGCAATTGAGGCTTCAAGGAGTGAGAATATGGCCTTATCCGAAACATCATATAGTGTGTCCTTAGAGAGGGAGGAGGGCATTCTTGGTTTGTGGCTTACTTCTCTGCTGCTGTGGGCCTCTTAGCTGAGATCTATTTCTGCAGTATTTTTCTGATTTTTTTTTTAATTCCTGATATTGTATAAGGTAATATTAAAAAAAAATGCATTTTGAATTTGTGAAATACACAGAACAAGCAGGGATGTTTGGAAGATCCTACATAGTGTTTGGCGGGGGTTGTAGTATTTTGCTTACATAATCCTGGTAAATGTTTACCTATTTGTAGAAAGTCACTTTTAGATGCAGCCATTTTCTAATGGCTTGAATTTGTGGTAGCCTACTGTCCTGGCAGCATCCACAATCCTGGAAAATAATGTACATAGGTGATGTGTCCATATACTATCATAGTGACAAGCCAGGTCTGAGGCAGTTCAATCTTATTTGTAGTGTCCTGTTGGCCAACTCCTCAGTCAGGAATTATGTGTCAGCTCTTCAGGTGATAGAACTCTAATGAAAAGACATGGATATGTACATTGTACCTTCTGTGTGTTCATAACGCAACGCAATTGTAGCACCATCATAATTTCCTTCTTGATAGCATTAGTCCAAGAACTTTCTGAACAAATTGAAAATGGGGCAGCATCACAGGGAGTTGGCTAGAATTCCTTGTGAAAGGCTAGGGTTGTATTATTGCAAAAGCTGAGAATATTGAATATTTGGCTTTAACTTAAATACAGATTTGCTGTTGCTTCACCAAAACATACAGGCTTACTTGTGGTTTGGGGGGATTTTAGTTTCTTTATGCTTTCATGTTAAAATGAATTATTCTTTGCAATGAGTATGTTTTCCCACTGCCCTGTTTCCTTTGATAAGGGAAATTTAAATGCAAGCTGTCTTGACTGGTTTACTAATTTACATATTACTGTAGTAGATGTGTGCAGCATGTAACTGTTTCCCAAAAATTAATCTGTTCTGGAAACTATTCTAATACTTCAGAGCTCAATTACTTTTTTTTTTTTTGATCTTGCACTTTATCATTGAGTTACAATCTACTTTGTTATTACTATTTATGCAAATAGATGTTAACTTTAAATTTCGTTATTTCCAATCATAGGAAGAAGGCGCAGTGCAGATAAATTATTTTCCTCATGGAGGTTTGATTGACTTAATGTACTTCCCATACTATGGGAAAAGCTTGCATGTAAGTATGTCTTTATGATCTGACAGTCTTCATTTTCTAAGTGTTTAATTTCTTTTGCATTTACTACTACCATTTTCAGAATCATAGTCAAGTCTGAAGTTTGCAATGAGGTGTTTATGAGGAATATTATGAATGCAGAAGCTTCCTAGTGCTTGGTGAGATTAGAGAGATGCTTTTGCAGCCAGAAGATAATTTTGGCATTACTATCCTTAGGAGGAAGAGGCTTCATACTAGCGGACTAGCAATTTTAGAGGTGTGCTGTTTTGTGGTCGCTTATATATATAGGTAGATAGATATAGATAGATACAGATAGAGAGATATATTTCTGCACAGATAAATTTCAGTGCAGAACAACACAGAAACTAAGCTGTTTTTTCTGATTACAATACAGTTTCTGGTAGTTAGTCCTTAGGATTTATATTCAGGATATGAAATTCATAATTATTTTTTTTTCCACTGTTAGTTATGCATCCTTGTAGTTCTGCAGACCTGTTTTCTATTCACTCTGTTTTGTGAAGAAGCTCTTTGAGCTAGCTGATTTGTTATTTAGAAGCTTTATATACATATCTATGTATATATTTTTTTCTGTCCTCATCACCTCAAGTATTCTGACCATAAATTTTGTTTATATGTATGAAGAACAGTTAGGTTGAAAAACAAAAAAACATTGCTTTGTGAATCCAGAATAAGTAGGGTTAAGACTACAATTTCCTTTCGTATTTAAATATATTTTTAATCAAGCTGTGATAACTGCCTAAAAAAAAGTCCTTACTTTCTATCAACTCTAAATTCTATGACCTCTTTACAGGGTACTGAGTTCATTCTTAGATAGTAAACAACTTCATCACTCACCACTAAGATAAAAATATTTTTTTCTACATAAATGTGAGGTCCATAGCAGAGTATTTAGTTATTATTCCCCCAAATGATTTTCTATTACACTGCCAAATTGTTTAATGATCCGTTGTCTTTCTACTGTATTCTATGGTTGCAGCAGCTCATATCGTTACATAACTTACCCATAATCAGGAAGGTGTTTGTTATTCTTTAGCATCTAGTTTTATGTTGTTCTGTCTCTTCCATTTTGTTATAGTTGACATGGTCTGCACAACTATGCCAGTGAAAACTCAAACCACAGAGGCCTCTATCATTTTTAGGCTGAGTGCTGTGTTTCAAAAAAGGGAATCCTTGGGACAGTAAACTATTGCTTATAATTTGAAAAATGTAGAGGATTTACTGTACTTTGTAAATAATTGTGTTCAGATGAGGTTGGTCTTTGGCAATTTTAATATGAAAGTCCAGTGTTCGGCTTCACACATCAAAAGCAATTCAGTACAACTTCAGGAGTTGATTTGTGTAATAAAAAAGGGCCTAGAGACATGTCTGGGATCTGCCAATCTGCACTTCCAAAAGGCAGAGTCAGTACACATGCTATCCTTTCTTGGGGAAAAAGTAGAGAAAGAAACACAGTGCTATTCCTTACCTTTAGATGATTTATTTATTTATTTATTTATTAATGAACTGATACTCTTTTTTGGATGTTTTATTCTTCGCATTCACTTTGCTGTGTGAGCTAGACACTGAGCCTTGCTTGAGGAATTCTTTATGTGAAGCTCAGTTCTCATAACACTGCTATATTTTGAAAAAAAAAAAAAGACAACAGAGTTCTGAGAGGTTAAGGTATTCCATTAGGTCTTGTATTCCATTAGGTCTCAAGAGACTGGGTTGATTTCTTCTGCAATACACCTTTGTAGACTTGTTGAATTACTTTGTTGTGTGAAAGAGTTAGTTTTATTCTCCTAACTAATTAAACACCTGCTCTGAAGGTGTAAAAGTGGGAACCGTGAAAATACTAAGGTATGTTACTTTGTCTCTCCAGAAAGGCTGCTTGCCTTTTGCCATTCTTAGTGCACTGAACCCAACTGCCTGACCTTAGTGATTTTTTCTGTTATTGGAAAGATCTGTACTGCTTAATAAAAATGCTGAATATTTTTATCTGTTTTATATTGAGTAAAAGGCCATTTTGCTCTGATCTGTCTACAAAATACTGCAGAGATTTGTGCACCTATTTAAAGGATTAGAAATGATTTTCTTGAGTGTCCACTTTTATTTTTTCATCAGTAGGAAATTGGTTACTGTCTCAAATGTGGTATTGCTGTTGACTTGAAAATTTTGAGGACAACCTTGCCTAACAGTTATGTTGACTGCATCAGTTAGGAAATGATGTAAAGAATGTAAACCTGGTTATTTAATGCTGGAGTGGAAGAAGTTTTACCTGAGTCAGACTGGACTTTGAAAGCTAGGATCTTAATTAGTTTTTTCTGGGCAGGATTTTGATGGATTAAATTGTTCATGTCAATTGTGCAGATCACTTACTCTGGTATCTCAAATATTTTCCCCATCTTTCTGTTTACTAGGCTCACTATTTACAGCCTCTAGTGGCTGTTCAACTAGCAATTAACTCCAACAGTACCAAAGAAGAAATAACAATTGAGTGTAAGATCCTGGGCTCACCTAATTTAAAAAATGAAGATGACCGTGACAAGTTTCTGGGACGAATTGCCTTCAAAGTTCAGATGACTGAATAGCAGGAGAGAAAAAAAAATCTGCACAAATGAAAATGTTATGTTGTTTGTTTTGTATCAGCTGGACATGCCATTCTAGGATACGAGACCACCTTGGAGGATGTTCAGGTGGTATATGGCGTTGAGGGTAGCATAAATAATATGCTTCCAAATCATGTTTAAAATCCCTCAAAAAAATGCCTATTATGCTTCTGCCTGCCCCATTGGAACAGTGTACAGACTATAGTTATGTCATTTTAGGGATCTGTAAATAGCTGTTTTCAAACACATAATAATGGTGATCTTTGTCCTGTTCTAAAATGTGGTTTTATTCCCCGAAGTGAGTGTCTCAAGCTTAATGTGCTGTGCTATGTAAATATTGTATTGATTTAACACTGGTTTAACTGTCATATCTCAATGCTGACACAGTTTTAGGGATAAATAATAAATGGTACCTGACTGACATAGTGGATATTTTGAAAGAGTAAACACCTCCACGTAAATTGTGTGCATGAGAGTGGGTGGGTTGGTGGCTGGATGTGTGGAGATGCCTTAAATCCTAGATTGGGTGGGGTGGGAGAATTAAAATGTATTTTAAGATTTGGTATGGATTTCAGAAAGTAAGTGCTCAACTAGTACTTTCTTGTGCTTGTCACTGTGCAAGTATTGTGTACATGTAATACTTGGTATAGAGTTTGGTATTCTAGTTGAGGAATTGAATCTTTTATTGTGTTGTTAATTGCTTGCGATATGTGGAGCACAAATAAAATTATACAATATTTTAAAACTTTCTAGTTCAGAAATATCAGTATAAGGCAATTAAAATGGTTTAGAGTCCTGGTAACAGTTGTACAACAAAGCTACTTTAAAGAAGTGGCCTTGCTATTGTGGGAATAGGCTTTTGTTTTCCATTTAAAACAAGTTCCTGAAGAAACTCTGTTGAAAATAAGAATTGTCTTGATTAAACATTCGTATGTTTAATTTATATGCTCTGTTTCCTTGCATCATTTTAAATATTTGATATTCCATTCTTTTGGCTTAATTTTCTGTTTGTTTCCTCATCTGTCATTAGAAAACTGGTCTTACCATCTACCTTATAGTAAACTGAGGCTGTTGAGTTGGAGTATATACTCTGTTACAGGTACTGGGGGCTAGATTTGTTAGGTAACAAGCTTTTATGCCTAATTCTTATAGTGGTTTTCAAAATTATGATTAAGTTCAATATAAGTTCTGAAGTCTTAATGCCCTTCCTGGAAATTGTCTGAGGCCAAAGCAAGCCACATTTGCACAAAGCTTTTTTAAACGCCTGTGCAGGCGTACATCTGTGCAAGGCTGGAGGAAGCTGCTCATAATGGAACTTACGCTCATTAAAAATAGAACACTTCTGCTATAATTTAGCACACTTTTTGGTTGTTGTTTACAATGGAAAAATGGTTGTGTGTTCCTCACAAATATGCAATGGGTACTTTTATAATGATAGCGTACATAATACTGCATAGGAATGCGTAGTCTAAGTCTTGCAGTTTTAGAGCTGGGGCATGTGAATTTTTGAAGATATGACTATTATTGCAGCCTGAAAGTATTTTAATAGTTGTGAGAGAACTTAAGAGGTTGTATCTGAAAATGAACTGCATGTGGAAAAAAAAATCTCATTTCGGATTTGAATTCACTTAGGCATGGTAAGTTCTAGAGAGTTGTTCAGTTTTTGAAAGAGATGGTTCTCTTTTCCTTCTCGTCTATTTAGAAAAAGTGTGAAATGGCAGTTTTTCACTAGCATTTTCTGGATTGGGTGAATTCAACAAACTGCTCTCCCTAGTCTGTCAAAATTATTATGTAAAATATATGCGGATGCTGAGATAGTTTCTCTTAAAACTTATCTGGGCTTTTCCTTTTTTTATTATTTCTGCCCTCTCCATCCCTCCCACCACCCCCCTAATTTGAGCAAGTGATCTATCAATATTTATAATCAGGTGTATCAACTATTAGGGCATGACATGATTATTCATTTTCTTCATGTGAAAATTTCAGTACGCATTCTTTGGGTTTAATTATAAATCATTATTAAAGGTGTCTTAATTGTGTAATTTAAGACCTAACTGAAAAAATATAGATTTAAGTACTAAGGATGTACATGCCTGTATTCAGTATACATGAAAACTAGTGTTCTTTCTGAGTGGAGTTTTATAGAAGAAAAAAAATCTCATACTACCGTGTAACCCAAAACTTCTTAATTGGGAACATTGTATTCATTCATGTGCAAGTCATAAATGTGTTTGGAAACAAATCTTTGGCTTTCTGCATGGGTAAATCTTTTAGCTGCTACGAGTGTAGTATAAAAACCTGTAATCTTGTCTTAGTAGCCAGATGAGTTTTCAATCAACCATAGTGTCGAGAGCAGGAAATTTTACCTAGGGCATGGAGGACTCTGGTTCCGCATTGCTACAACAATGTCTGTCGTATGTGGGCTTCCCCCTTTCCAGTCCCCAGTTTACTTTTGAGGAACATCCCTTTTGTACTAGAACCTGTATTTGTATTAGCCATTCTTGGGGGATAACTTTTAACCTCCACTACTTGACATCATGCATCTTGGGGCTAATGTTTCTTTGGCTGCAGGTGTTATGCTGCACATCAAAAATGTGCCTTTTTTAAAACCTCAGATGTTACTTGACTATAAATCAGTGCTGCTGTAAACACACATTCTGTCATGAGCCTTGATCTTTTTACAGTGGTCTTAGTTGCCACCCAATTAAATTATATAGAGTACCTGTCACTGTCTTGTTAGAAAAAGCATTTTTAATACAAATGACAAGAGGGAATCCCTATATCACCTTCTTTATACAGCTCTTCTCTCTTTTTCTGTCGAAATGAGAAATAAAAAAAAATTGGAAAAGCAGTGCAGAAAATCCAGGTCATTCTAATTTTACTTTTGTTAATTTGATAACTGATTCTTGCACATAAAATCAGTATAATGTGAGAATTTTTGAAAAGCCTGTATATTACTGAGTAGTTTGTTTGGATTAAATAGGTCTGCTAATCCATGACTACAAGTAAGACTTCTTTGTCTCTTTAAATCTCAGGCAAGCTCCTAAAGAAGCTACTAAAGGAAAATTCAAGGTTATGTTCACTAGCACGTACTTAAATTTTTATGTGGTGCAGCTCTGAACAGTGAGTATTGCATGTAGCTGTGGAAGTAGTGCCTCCTCTTGATTTTGCATTAAAATGGTAGGAATTGCTAGCAGTTTAAGTTGGATTTGACAACAGTTCCTTTAAAGGGCTGATGAATTTCATATAGTCTTAGCACTTTTAATCGTATATTTTATTTTAGAAAGCATGTGTAGCTGTATGTATGATTTGGTAGAGAGCATTATAATCTTTTGGATTTGCTTTACAGTTATCTGAAATAAAAGTATTTGTGTTTTCTTTCTGTATCCAAATATTTTGTTACTTGTGAGCCTGTTAGTGCCATTTCTATTTGTCTGATAAAGGGGAGTCCTTACAGTGATTTTTTTTTGTTTTGATATTTTTATTGTTTTGATTTTTTTATTGTCCCTAACAAGTTCCCTCTTAAAACCATGACTGTAGATTCTAATTTAAGAAACTAGTTACAAAGGGGACAGATGACTTAATTTAATATTTTAAATATTTTAATGGCTGAAACCTTGTACTGAGTTGTGTGCACACTGTAAGCCTTCTTGTGAACAGGAAAAAAGCATAACACATGGGAGCTTGGATGAATTTCAGTGCAAGGGATGGTGTTTGCTAAAGTCTTCACTTTGCTGTTTTTGCCTTTTAAGTTTAGGGAGAGGTTAGCGGGGATTAGCTGGGATAGCACACTGTAGTAAACTCTGTAAATTTCTCTCTAACCTTGTTTGGTTTGGGGACTTGCTTAATCTAAATACCACTTACAAGTGATAGTAAATTTCAACGTCATTGGTTTAAATATTAATTTAGAACAAATCCGTAGACAAGATTTAACTGGTACCAAATCTTAATGCACTCTGAAGAAAAGCTGCACGAGTGGCTTTGCCCTCCACTGAGGTGTTAGGCACAGTAGCAGCTCATAAGTTTGTCCTCCTGTTCCCTTAGTAAATTCCTAATCATCCCAATAGCATGAGCTATTCTGTAAGTGAGGAGGGTTTTGAAACTTCTCCCCTCATTGCCCATCCCCAGATTTCAAGTGGCTAAAACCCAGCATTACTGGGTGAGCCATTACTGAGAAATTTAGCTGCAGAAGGAAAGTGGAGTGGGATTTTTGATCTGAAAAGTCAAGCTGAGTTGACATAAACTTCTTCAGATGGTTGGGAGCTTCTTGGTTACTTCATTTGGTATTTTATGTGTATGTCCTCACAGGAGATGCTACTTGGGTGTAGAAACCCAGTACCATCTCCTCAGGCCATGCTGTTTCAACTGGAAGAGTTTGTGGTTGTGCTGACTAGACTTGCAGGCTTGTTACAGTGCAATCTCATCCTCAGGCTTACAACCCTTGTGCTTAATATGGATAAGAAAGGAAGTTGTGTAGCAAAAGGGCATCAATTTTGAAAGATGGGAAATGTTCCTGTAGGTAGTTTTCTCAGAGCAGATTGATAACTATGTGCTTGTGGATTGAGGCATCTTTTTCCCAAAGGTAAGACCGTAGCTGGCAAGAAAATGAAGTTGCAAAGTGTGACTATTTGGGACAGGGGACAATGAAGGATTCCAGTGCCTGTGTGGATTGATGGTAACTTGTACCCAACAACTTGAATTTTCCTGTTTCAGAAACAATAAACTGTTTAAGATTCCCTGACCGGCTTTCTGTAACAGTTGTAATTTTATGTGTCAATCAGTTTAGGGGGATTGGGGCTGTCCCTTAATATCAGATGTGTTTTATAGTTGGCCTTTGTTGTCATCATCTTGCTATGCTTTATCAGTAACCACTGGTGCCAGAATGAGAACATAGGTCATCATACAGGAGTTTCTTACGTAAGATTCATACCGAAGTCTGTATAGATTTTTTCTTTTTTGATGGAAGAGCATCCTTCCATTAACATAGGATCTAGAGAGCTGAAATCATTGGATCAGAATAGGGTGCTGCTGGTGAATTTATATGGCAAATTGAAATTAGTCTTTTTTTTCCCCTTCCTGAAGTCCCTGTATTTTAGTGAGATGATGCATTTGTTTAATGCAGTGGTGTAACATAGCGTTAAGCAGAAAACTGCTGCAGTGGATTGCGTGTTTCCAAGAGCCTCAGTATGTTAAACTAGGTCAAAAATTGCATAAGATGCCATTACTGGAAACCGCTGTAGGCTGACTCGTGTATAAAATCCTCAGTGGTGCAACTGGCAAATGCACTTTGACAAACAGAAATGCAGTCATGACTAAAACATGACAAGAAAGCTCTTTGAAATCTCCCTAGGACATGAATGGTTGTTGGAATTGTGGGATGTCTTTGCCCTTTGAGGTCATGTTCCTGCTATCTAGTGAGCCAGAAATATTTGCCTGGCTTATCAGAGATTTCACGTTGTTCTTGTCTGCAAGGAACTCGGACACAAGACTCCTTAACTCATTCTGTATGGCAAAAGATATATTCTGTATATGCCAGTTTACCGAGATGGTTTTAAGTACAAGTATGTATAGCACACTGAAAAAAACATGTGAAGTTAAGCCTCAATAATAGTTTCTCACAGACTGTACAGTTACCAGTGATTAATGATGAAAAGTGGGAGTTTGCAGGGACAGCGCAAAAAAACCCGAGTTTCTACATGCAGGAGCAGCCAGTGCTGTTTAGCTTAATGCTGATGTGCCCT